CTGATCTATTAACTAAATGGAAGAGATGCTATGAGATCAGATATCACAGAGGAAAAGAGAGTGTGTGCCTTGCTTGGATTACACTTTACCAGTCATCCGAACGGTTTCTCGCATCCCATGATTCAGACAATACCAGGTACCGGCGTTGTCACCGGATCGCTGCTTGATCCAGTAATGAAACTGAAAAGCTGAGCCACTGGTTCAGCTTGACGGCAGATCACCCGCCGACCAGCCTCGACCCTTTCTTATTTCCGGCGGATGATCGGAAGGGGAAGGGGGAATTCCCGTAGGGGAGAAAAAAAGAGGAGGGAGGAGGGAAGCAGGAAGGGTGGTTCCCAGATTACCGGTTGGTAAACCCGCGCGACATCCCGCACCGCCAGGAGAAGGGGAGAAAAAAAAAAAAAAAAGAATGCAAGATGGTAAACCTGCATGGACAGGGCACTTGCTCTCGTGCAGGCCAAACTTAATACAGAGGTACGGGCAGCACAAATCGGGAGGTGATGGTCCAATCTCAGACAACCCAGAAACCACACGAGTTTCCTAGTCGGGGTTGGATAAGCTGGTAGGTCACGGGGAGGTAGAAGTGGTCACAATCGGACTGCTCCTTTTATTTTATTTCGTTTTATCTATCGTTACCCCGATTGAACTATTGCTCTACTAAAGGTGCCGAATGGAAGGAGAAATTCAAGCGCCGAAATTAATTATAAGGTCGCAGGACATGGAGAGATCGCGGAGATTGAAAATCAATAACGGAGTATGGTGGATGGATGATGATGATGAACATCAAATTCCAACACCAGGTTACAGTCCAGCCGAGGTTCTAACCGAAACAAACCAACCAGATGATCCTCCCACTGGGGAGGGAGATCTATTGGCTAGGAAGATCTCTCCTGCTGATGAAGATTAAGTACGATGTCCGTCCATTAGTCAGTACATGGAAGAGGGGGGTGGGATCAGGGCAGGGGAGAATGGAAACGAGAAAAAGGAAAGAAAAAGGTTTCATCTAGAGGGAATAATTGGTCCGCGGCTTCCCAGAAAAGGATGGACCGCCCTGTGATCATTCCAGTTCAGTAATGAAGGGGTGAACGGTCAGCTCTCTTTCTTCAAGAGCTTCTTCTTCGACTCTAGTGTCTGAACATAATGCACACAAGGCATCCATTATGGTCTTTGATCAACCCGGTGTTCGCCCATCAATCGCTTCATTGCTTTCTCTCGAGGCTATCTTGCACCCTCCCCGATCGGGTGTTATTTCCGTCATCGTTTCTCGTCCTGGGATTCGTGTATCGACAGACAGGCGATAGTCCAGTTAAGCAAGGCTCATCCTGACCAGGTTCCTGTAGGGCCGGTACATTGAAAAGGTGGGGAAGGAATGCGCACAGGACCTTCAGAGTTCAGACGTCGAGCGATCAAGGAAGAGTCAAGTCACATACATCGATTGACAGGAAGAGAAATCTAACTAGTATCTACCGCGCCAGCAGCTCAAGACGGGCGCAACTGACACCCTGTAGACAAACGACTGCATCAGCATGACTTGGGCATTCAGTGTCATGCATGTTAGGTAAGGTGGATGTGTATTCGAGTTATTTCATACTAGTATACACACGCCTGCGCACGCTGGGCAACCGGGCAGCCTGAACTCGTGTTGATGATTGGCGAGGCGTTTCCACGTGTTTTGAGCCCCGGCGAGTGGATGTGGATGTGGAAACTGAAGGTCGAGTCATAGACAAACCGATACAATAGGATGACTTTGCAGTAAGGCAGGAAGCACTACGGACTACTAACCAGAATGGAGTAGTACTATCACCTCCATTGAATTAACCAAGTCAGTATCCTCTGTGACAGTCAGTAAGTGTCCAGCATTTGCCACTGCCGCTTAGACCATCATAGGGAATGGGCCCTGCATTACTCTGTCGGAGTTACTACGAGGCGTAGCAGACACACTAGCCAGAGAAGCAGCAGCAGTAGCATGCAGCTGCTGTGGCTTGCCCTCATCATTCCTAAATCCCTCTCTGACTTATTCTTACACCTGTTTTGTGTTCTGGCTGTCGGTGACGTAATAGGATATTTGAACACCTTCAAGCAACAGTAAGCTGCTATCCCCTCATGATCCAGATATTTTTCCATGATATAATCTAGTAGTTAGCTGGCTAGTGTGTTAGAGTAATATAGGTATAACAACCCAAAGTAGGAAGAATGACACCGTCACTCAGCAGGATGCATCCAACCCCATCATCAGGAATGCAACCCCCAAACATGACTAAGTAAGTAATCGAGCTTCATTTTCCCTTTCCATCCCTCCCAGCCTACTGGAATAGGCATACACGGTGGGCTTGACTGTGTAAGTTCAGATCATTGTGAAAGTTCTCGCCCGAACGGGAAATGCTGGAGGGATGATGGCTGGCTGGGAAATTGATCATTGGTGGGCCTGATTTCATGCGAGGGGAAGGAAAGCAGACTAACACAATGAATACGGTATGTGTATTTCACCACACCACCACCATAATTACTTACAATACATATAATACAGGACTGACAATGGAGCCAGCCATTGCCAGCACATCATCGACACAGCATCACATACTACACCTACCTAGTAGTAGTTAGTTAGTTACCAGGTTGCTGTGCTTACCAGTACTAAGAATAACTGTACTAACTAGCTAGCTAGTTAACTATGTATCAAGTAAGCAGAGCCCCTCATAATACTGAATCACATTTCAATTCTAGGCAATAAAGTCCAGAATTAATATGAATAAAGTGAAGGAAAGGAAATAAAAAAGGGATCAAAAAACAACAAGACAAGACAAGACTCGAACTCGATTCATTCCCCACACATCCACTCCTATATCCACACCCACCCTCGAAACTAATTAGTAGTTAGTTGTCCAACTAACTAACTATTGTAAACTACCTATCTTACCCCTATCCCCTAGATACAAAGTTTAGCTTACTTATCTACCCAAGTAACATAATCAGCAACTGTACCTATCGATGTCCTTGCTCCTCTGTTCTGTAGTCATCTGCAGTGAAACAAACCCTCCCTATGCCCAAGCTCTCTCGAGTCAGCCAACCAACCAACCATACATAGTTAAAAGTAGACTACTAGTGATCCAGCTGAAACGTGCCAGGACCCTCCTGGTTTGCTTTACCCCTGTCTCATCATCATCATCACACCCCCTCATACATACATTGAAAATAGAATCCTGCCATCCAAACCTCCCTCCCCTACTCCATAATTCAAACCGCTCTATATGCGTTCGTTGATCCGGATGACTCTTACCGGGATAGCCGATTGATGAACATTGGTGATCCTTACTATAAATCTATTTTAGGGGGGTGTGCCGTGGGACGGAACTGTTTCTAGCGAACAAACAGCGAACTGGAGTAGCCTGAATAAATGTTCTATAAATAAATAAGTAGCATAGCCGGGGTACCGCAGTGGTAGTAGTATTGAAGAAGAGCTAAACTGCAGTGCAGTGCAATTTACCCCATAGTTAGTTAGCTAGTTAGCAACTCGAAAAAGCAGACAGTAGATAGTTAATAGAAGAATAGATCTGCAATGTCTTACATAGCCACACCTCTACCTACCTAAGTAAAGAAGGGCACGAAAATGAGGCTGAGCAGCGCACTCAGCCTAGCAGGGCATTCATTCATACGTACCTAACTACTATGTAAAGAGTACTAGGGTAAATTATTATTACTGGGCTAGTTAGTTAGTGTCATTCCTTACCATCACCGCCACAAACAAGCAATGAAGCAAACAATCACTTACGGAGGTACTACTGTAGAAAATCACAGAAAAAAAAGAAAGTAGAGTCATCAATTGTGAAGCAATAAGCGATACAGCCGCGCTTAGCTGGTATTACTTCTACCTACACTGTATGTACGATTAGTATGTCTAGTTCTTTCAGAATAAATTTTACATAGTAATTAGTAACCAACAAGTAGCTAATTATAATGGAATGGAGAGATTCATTCAACCGGGTTATTTTACAATATATAATCTACCAGAACAATAATCCCAATCAAAACAAAGTAAGCCAAAAGAAAAAAGAACAGTTACCGTAGCAATCAATCATCATCCCACATCCCCAGGAGTTAAGTTAACTCGGAGTGGAGAGAGAGAGGAAACTAACGATCGATATAGTATAAAGACCGGTAACCCGGGGCCCACTTCACTTCAATCACCCATATCCAAGATACATACATACGTATGGAGTACCTTATGAGGAAGAATAATGAAAGATACAGTATAGATAATTGGAGGTTACTATAATTATTATCAAGGCAAACACTGATAAATCATACGAGAGAGGGATCTCCAGATCCAAAAGATTGCAGAAAACCAGGCAATCTACCCATACATAACTGACTTAGTCTACTGATCTCGGATGACTGTGCCCGAAGGAAGGTGCCTTGTATGATACGATATGATATGATATATGACTCAGGGGCTATTTTCTTACTTAGTTAGTTATCACTCTACACTGTACTAACTAGTAGCTAGTAATTGTTACAAGGCACAATCCAATCCAATCCCCTCCCAGCCTCATGGAATAAATTCAATCTGCTGTAATGTAAGTATGTAGCAGTAACGCGACATTTTCATGCCTCTATACCAATTTGGCATCATACTCCTGATAGATCGAATCTTTTTTCTTCTATGGCTCGCATGAAAGAAGGCCAACTCACACAATAGTTAGTACCTTTCCTGCTTGCTTCACTCGTGGTGGCTGGGAAGCACAGCAAGATCTGATCTGGGCTATCTACTATCTACACCGCTACATGTCTCGCCCGACTCGTGCGGTGCGTTGCGTTGCGGTGCGTTGGTGTGGCGACAGATCCTGTGCGGGAAAGTATGTATGTATGTGTGTGGGTTTGCCTGCCGGCTCGGTACTATGTGACCTGTGGTTTCGGAGGGTCCGGATGCAATGGATGTGGATGGTCTAGGCCTAAAGTACTTAGCATCGTTGAGTGAAAGTCAATTGCAATGATTACGAGTAATGCTGGACAGCGATAATGTCATCCAAATCGTTGAAACTTGCTTAGATACTTTAGATATGCTAATGTCACACATGGATATCAGTACAACGGGACACCAATCCCTGATCTACGTTTTTTATGAGCAAATGGTCCCCTCCGTGGCTGCTCATTTAACCGGTGATCTTGTAGATGGACTCGGCGAGACGCTTGACGTTGCCGCTGGTGATACCGGCCACGGAGATACGGCCGTCCTTGGTGGCGTAGACGGAGTGCTGGACGGATTAGTGTGAAGAAGAGATATTGAGAATAAAAGCGGCTTACCTCCTTGGCCAGAGCGTCCATCTGCTCGGGCTTGAGACCAGTGTAGGCGAACATGCCGATCTGTCGCATGTTAGCAATCGCTTGCATCACTCATGGTTTAAATCCTACCTGGCTGGTGATGTGAGACCAGTCGTGCTTGCTGCCAAGCTCCTCCAGGTTCTTGCGGAGGAGAGCACGCATCTCGATGATGCGGTCGGCCATGCCCTTGACCTCACCCAGCCATTGCTCGTTGAGCTTGGCGTCGTTCATGATGGTCGAGGCGATGCGGGCACCGTGGATGGGAGGGTTGGAGTAGAAGGGACGGATGAGGATCTTGATCTGAGAATCCACACGCTTCTTCTCCTCGGCGGACTCGCAGACGAGAGAAAAGGCACCGACACGCTCGCCGTACAGACCCTATATCCGCTTAGTATTAACCACATACCAATCCAGCGTCTGTCTTACCATGTTCTTGGCGAAACTCTGGCAGAGAGCAATGTTGTGGCCCTCCTTCACAAAGTGACGGGGAGCAAAAGCATCCTGGTCAGCGTTACCACTGGCAAAGCCCTGGTAGGCCATGTCGAAGAAGGCAAAGTGACCCTTCTGCTTCATGACGTCGCTGATCTGGCGCCATTGGTCCTGGGTGGGGTCGACACCGGTGGGGTTGTGAGCGCAGGCGTGGAGAAGGATGATGCTGTTCTCGGGAGCAGCCTTGATGTCGGCCAGCAGGCCCTCGAAGTCGAGGCCAATGGTGTCCTTGTTATAGTAGCGGTACTGTCCGACCTCCAGACCAGAGTCCTTGAAGACAGCGGCGTGGTTGGCCCAGCTGGGGGTGGGAAGGTAGACCTTCTTCGCGTGAGGGTAGAAGCGCTGCAGGAAAGCACCACCGATTCTCAGAGCACCGGTACCGGAGATGGTCTGGGTGATGACGAGACGGTCCTCCTTGAGGACGGCGGAGTCGGAACCGTAGGCCAGCTCAGCAGCAGCCTTGGTGAAGGCAGGGATACCGGTGATACCAGCGTATTCCTTGTCGTAGCCGGAGGCGACAACCTTGTCCTCCGCAGCACGGACGGAAGGCAGGACGTAGGGCTTGCCCTTGTCATCACCTGTTTGATCGCAATGAATTGTCAGACTACTGAACGTTGGAAGTTGGTTGTTTGGCGTGATCGAACGATGGTATGGTTGGATAGTTAAACTGAAACAGGGTGATGCTTACGGTAAGCACCGACACCCAGGTTGATCTTCTCCTGGAAGGTGTCGGCCTTGTAGGCCTCGGTGATACCCAGGATAGCATCCTACAGAGCCAATGGGTCAGCAATGGCATCACAACAGCAATTGGGATGTGTTGGAGATCTTACGGGAGGACCCTGAGGCACGTTGGACCAGGCGGAGGCGTGTCTGGCGCCGACAATAACGGTGCGCACACTAGCGTCACGGGTAGCAGCCTTACGGCTGGCGATTCTGAGGGTGGACAACATGGTGAATAAAGGAGGATTGAATAGGAGAAGAGAGGAAAGAAAAGGAGAAAATGAGCAAGCACTCCAAGAGACCAGGGAGGAGATGATCAGGAAGAAAAGGACGGGGGGGGGGGGGTTCCAAGGAGCTGGCAAGCAGTACTTGAATGGAAGGCTGGAATCGGGGGAGGAGACAAGCGGGAGAGAGACGAGGTCGGCGATAGTTATTTTATTTTTTGAGTCACTGGAAACTGACTTGGGACTAGTCTGGTTAGCACAGTAGGGAGTTTCCGGGGAGAGACGCGGGAGGCCTCGGATTGGCCACGTCCTCCGCATCGCCAGCAGCTGACTTGGTTGCTTGTTTGGCTGGTTTGCATGGAACGTTATTGACCTGGCAGCTGCAGAAAGCAAGCACGCTGCACATATCTCTCGGATGTACGGAGTAGCGTGAATGTAGTATATCTATTTCATCAATGACATCTGAATGCGATTGTCTATCTCTACTAACTGATTGATTACTATCCGACACAACAATGAACACCACTGAATGAGTTGTCAATGTCATCATCACGGAGAGCGTGGACTCCCTCCTTGACAGATCGCACCACAAATGATGAGCCCGTCCCGCTCGCCCCGGTGAACTGTTTTAGTATCGAGGGAAAATCATGGATGGGCTGAGGTTGGTCTTCCCCTCACGAGGAGTTGGGGTAATTACTATCTGTTCAATCGGAGACAATCGTCCTTCTACCACTTACCTTCAACCACCACCATCACACCATCAATCATATTAATCTGCAGCATTGACTCCAATTTTCCTCCTGTTAACTACAGTCTCACTTTTCTCGATTTTGGTAGCTTTACCACAAAATCTTGAATAGCTACCCACACAACCATGGTTGCTTGCACTCCACCGCCTCGGACAATATCACTCGGCCTCGGTTAAATTCCCCCACACGCCAAGCCTATCCCAATTCAATAGCTCTGCTACACCATCGACGGAGTATTGAGGACGTCCTGCAGTGTCTTCGGAGCACCGAGTCCATCTTACCTCTCTATCCATCCATCATCGGACAAAACCGCGTGCTGCTGGCTTGCTTGCTTTATCTACACCCAAAAACAGGTCGATCTATTGGATATAGATAGAATAATATGTGACGTTCTATTGGTATAATCTGTACAAACATCGCATAGCCTAGAAAAATATTTGCTGAGGATCATTAATGTGCCTCCTGAATAGAGGTCGTTCGGTGAAGGTCATCATCTACTACAACAGTCCGAGAGAAGCAACACCACTCTCAGCCAAGTCGCACACCGGCCTGGCGGTTCTTGCGCGCTGTCGCTCCCATGGCGTTGTTCATACCCGTGTGTTGACTGCTGTCCAGCGCACTCATCGCCTCGCGCTTCTTCTCTTCTTCGATCTTCTTCAACCGCTTCTCCGTCTTCATCTTGCCACTGCCCTTGCCGTGGAATTGATGACTGAGATGCTTGAACGCTTCCTTCTGGTTCATCGCACGACCATGCTCATCCACGTACTTGAGCTGCACGTCCGGCTTGTATTCGCGGTTGAACACCTCTGCCATGTGTCGCGCCTCCTGCTGGTCGCGCTGCTTGTTCTCCCACCGAGCGTATTCTTCTCTCTCGCGCGCTGACATCCGGTCCAGCTTGCCCGAGGCGCGGTCGCGTTCACGCTGCTGCCGAGCGCGTTTCTCCGCGTCGGTCTCCATGCGCATCTTCTCCTGCAGGAAGCGATGACGGTCGCGCAGCAGAGAATTGTTGTCTGCGGCGTCGGATCCCTTGACCAGACCACGTTGTTTGAGCATGTTCAACGTAGCACCGAGACCTTGATCCAGAGTCGCTTCTTCGTCCAAACCTGTAGTGCTGATCTGTTGCTGGGCCTGTGATTCCTCGCGCTTGATCCGTTCCTTGAGATCTTCCTCGTCCTCGATATCATTGTAGGTCCCCATTTCCACATCCTCGTCCTCTGCCTTAATGCTGGGGCCTTCACTCTTCGCACGTGACTCCTCGGCGGGCGTCGTGGTCTGTCTCTCGCGGCGCTCTGGAAGGGTAGGTTTCTGTAGGTTGGAGACAAACTCCGAGGTTTCGTCGATCACGAGGCCGGGCTCTTCTTCGTTTCCATCGGGCGTGCCTGTTTCCATCGGTGTCTGGGAACCCTCTTCTCTGAGCTGTCGAGCAAGATCCTCCGGTCGCACTTTTTGTCGCTTCTTAAACGCAGCACGTCTCTGGCGGGTAAGCGAGGCCTGTAGATCATCATCATCGACAAACGAGACATCCTCACTTGCCCACTTCTTGGGGGCGGGCGCGGGAATGGGTGTTCCGTTATTAGTATCAACCTCCATGGCGTTGTCATGCGGGGTACTCGTCGACTCGGTCGTAGGGAATAGTTCGTCGTCATCAATAACAGCTCTCTGTTTCGTAGCCTTCGCCTTCTTCTTCTTAGGCTTTTTGATCTTGATCTCGCTGATATCCATGTAGTCGGACGCCGGTGTCGTCGTCTCCGTCTCCAGATCCAAACTGACGATATTCTTGTTCAATTTGCCCGACACCTCCTGTCTCTTTGCCTCCCGCTCCTCCACCGTAGACCCTTGAGCATCCAGAGTAAAGCGTTTCCGCTTCTTACCATCAATTTCCTCATCATATTGTGCCAGGATACTCGAGTTCTCTTCCGTAGGATCATACGCCGGCTTCCGTTTCTTCAACTCTGTCCGCTCCGTAGCCTTCTCCCTCTCCCTCAAATCAACATTTTCCAACTCATCCCCCTCCTCCTCGTTCTCATCGATCGTCGCATCCTTCAGCGTAAGGATATGATCCTCACCCCCCTCAAAGTCGCCCACCTCATGTCCAACCTTGATACCAGCCAGATCGACAGTAGTGTATTCCGCCGCCCGTTCCCGTTCCTCCAACTCCTCCGCTAGCTTGCGCGCCCGTTCCTTCTCGATCTTCTTCTGTCGCTTCTTGGCCTGCATCAGCCATGCCTTGGTGTCCTGGTCCGCATCGCCCGATTCACCCAGCGTGGTGCCCTGTAACTTGGCATCTCTCTGCGCCAGCTCTCGTGCCCGCTTGATCGCAGCGTTTCTCTCTTCCCGTTTCCGTTTCGCCTCGGCATCATCCTGCATCTTCTTCCAGTTGGATCCGGCCATCGCTTCGCGCGACTCGAGGGTACTAGCGGGGTCTTCATCTTCGGAGCCGGACGAGTCGTCGGAGTCGTCTTCATATTCGGCGCCAGGAACAGGCAGGGGTTTTAATCCGAGCGCGGCTCGGATTTTGTTGTTCTGTTCGATGGAAACTGCATCGGCCATGGTGGCGACAAATGCAGAGGAAGTATGGAGATAGATACGGACGGTCGGTGGGTAGGTGGTGAGGTATCGTCTTCAACAGATGACAGTGAAGTTGAAGTGACGGGATATGAGATATTCAACCCGCCGCAGCGGCGAACCTGACCTGACCGACCGACCGACCAGCGAGAGCGAGCGCGCGGCAACAAGCACTTACCTAATCTGCACCCATCTCGGTAAGGTTTAGCGCGACAAACTCTTAGCGCGAGCTTGGCGCAGCGGATAAAAGGCGGCTTCGTCGATTTTTTCTCTTCTTCTTCTTTTTCTTTCTTTTCTTCAGAACATGAACAAACACGGATCTGTGTTCAGCGATCCCGTTCATGGAGGGTGGCAGTTTCGGCTGTTTATTTCTCTGTGTTTCGGTTGAACGCTGGACAGTTCGACGACTTAAGGAGCCATTCATCTTGTGGATGGTTTTTGCACTTCCGGTCGACAGATCTCAGATTAAAGGTTGGCGCTGGGTGTTCACTCTGGTCTTGAGCTCCCATCTTGGTGAGCTCGGCTGGAGAACCTGGTTGCTGACGGCGTCATATTCCTACTCCCTTTACCGAATTGGCCGTCGGTCACTGAGGTTAGGGAATAACCATGACCTGCCAACATCACTATCATTATAATTTATGTATGTAGTTGTAAAGATGTAAAGCTGCGCACAAACTACGTGCATGGGATACCATTTGAACCGATCAATAAGTCGGTTATCGTCTGCTATGAGTGGACGACGAAGTAGCATGCTCGACATGCTACTCGAAAAAATATGCCATAATGCTGAGCCGCAAGATGAAGCACATCGCATCGCGATACCCTTCTCCAAAACGCCATATAATATCATATCTCACCACCGACCCAATCAATCCCACACGGTCTGTTTTTCACTGCTACACCCATAACACCTCCAAACCGAACTTCGATCGATATAGATACGGAGTAAGAAAAAAAAAAAAAAGTTTACAACAACTTCAAATGCCCCGTCACCGAATCCACCACACTCTTGGGACCCAAAACTCCCAACACCGTGCGGCTCCCACTCGCAATCTGCGTCCGTCCAGCATCCGTAATCACCCTGGCGCAAAGTCCCAGACTAATCGCCTTGGCCTGCATCTCCTCCATCTCCTCCTCCGACTTGACCTGCAGCGCGATCTTCGCCTGACCTTGTGATTCCCACCGGCGCAGGATGCCGCTGTTCGGCGTGTACGCTGTCAGGTACTTGTAGCATGCGAGGGTAGCGTGCGAGCATTGGGCGGCGATTTTGCCTGCAACAGTAACAAAATCAAACATATTAGCATGCGCTTACCACAATAACCATAACCATAACCATAGCCAGAGACGTAGATATAAGATGGTAAAACTGGGGACCGGGATATGCTTACCCTTCGTCATACCCAAATCCGTCCTCACGACAAGCACCAATTTCACTTCTTCATTGGAGCTATCGAAGTTGGCGAGCTCTGTGCCGTCGCCTTCTTCTTCACTGTCCTCTTCTTCTTCGGATTCGTAGTCTTCGTCCGACGAGTCCAGGTGCGGTTTCACGTTGTAGCTGTTCGGCCAGCCTTCTTTTTCTTTGTTGCTGAAGAGACCGAGGCTGCTGCCTTGGCCGATGAAGTAGCCGGTTATGCCGGCGAGGATGGCGGTCGCGACCACGTAGGCGGCTGTGGAGGGGGTGGTGCGGTCGAGGTCCGACATTTTGGGATTGATTGTTCTCGGGGGGTGGGTGTGGAAAGTGGTGGTTTAGTAGAGGGATTGAGTGGTGGTTTTGCGGAGCGGAGCTGGATGTTGCTTGGTCGGCGGTGACGTTAGCGGGCCGGGTGGTTGGTTTCTACTATGATTGATTGTTAACAGGTTAGTTGGGAGCTAGCTATGTCTATACTAGGTCTATTGGGATTGTTGATAACGTATTGATATGCATGAAATATTGTGGAAAATAAATTGTTCTAGAATGTTGGTCTGCTTACTGTATTACAACTGTTAGAGGCATCAACCCAATCACCGCAATCCAATTTGACAGGCGCTCTGCTTCATTATATACACATCCCAATCAGTCTAAAAGAACTGCTATCTTCCCTTAACAGCACGTCTAGTTCGGACGAGGAGCGGGCGCGCCGCCGACGTTTCCAAGGCGACGGCTCCTGTGACACATTAGTAGCGGATCGCAAACAGAAAGAATGCGGTCAGAGCAAGACAACTTACATGAAGGTACGGCTGAAGAAGCTGATGCCGATCATGAAAAGCCAGCTGGGGATGGCACTGAAGCCGTAGATGACATATCCAAGAGGGAGCAGAAGGTTGTTCTGAGCGAGCCAGCCGTCCGTGGGGTGAAGAGGACCGTCGTAGGCAGGGGCCTTCTCCCAGACCTTCTCAGAGTGGACCTTGTAGATGGTCTCCGGGGTCACGGTGGTCGAGTTCAGGTAGACAGTGTGGAGGGGAGTGTTGGGGCGCTCCTCACCAAGCTGGGCCTGGGGCACCTGGAGGAACCAGACCGAAGGAGCACCGGCACCCCAAGCAGAGCAAAGGACCTTGTTCTCTTCGCAATCCAGCTTACCGAGGTTAGGGGAGGTGGGATCGGCGGAGAACAAAAGCACGGATTCCTAAATAGGAGGATTATTAGCGACTATTGTTATGAAATCGAGTGGGTGCGCCCCCTTTTCTAGGGCTTGCTTACATTGAACGCTTTGTCGGCCTTGTCACAGCGACCGAAGCAAGTCTTGTTTCCTCCGGTGATGTAGACCAACCAGTCCTGGGGCTCCGAAGCGGGCTCCAGGTAGGACTGCCAGTTGGTCAAGTTGAACTCGGAGACGGTCTTCTCCTGGATCTTGGTCTTCTCGACGACCTTCTCAACAACGGCAGCGGCGGGGGCGACCGGGGTGGCAGTAGGCAAGTAGGACTTGGCCTTGTTGAACCAGCCCTGGACACGGTCCGCAAGGGGAACCTGCTCCTGAGCCACAGCGAGCGCTGGGAGGAGGGCGACGACCGGGGTGAAGCGCATGATGCTGAAGCAGTTGATGACGCGTGGTCAGTATAGGGGTCGAGGGAATCTATCACATCCAAGGGATGGATGGATGGAAGAGAAAACCAACCTGAGCTGTTATTGAAGGGACGGGCGCACTTTGGAGAGAAAGAGAATTCAAAAGCCAAAGTACGGGACAGCAGGCAGCTGGGGAAAGACAGGCACTTGGGGATGTTGAAGGTCGAGTGAAACGGCGAGAGATGTAAGCGTCGGCGACAGGTGGCCTAACTCTAAATGGCCGCCCGAGGATCCAACCGCCGCGGAAGCGGGGATTCCGCCTTCTGGAACACTTTAGCTTGACAGATTCGATTGCACTGGATTCTGCGAAGATTGTGGATGCAGATATCATACAACTACTTGTCTTCTAATTAGGGGGTGCATGTCTTGCATGTCCCCGAGTCTCTTTACAATGGCATTGTTGACATGTTGACACGCGGCAATTCAGTGGATCAGTGGAGCTGTGTAGCATCCGGACAGCTTCACTGACAATGCGATGTGCAACCACAACAAATAATCTTCATATGGAGATAGGGTGGTATTAACGGTATTCTGGGAGATTTAACAAGAAGCCCAAAAAAAAAGCAAATATGGCTGCTTATTTGATTATGACAGACACAGCATGCTGTTGTAATGACAGCTGTGCCGCTCGAACATGCTGAGATGCTCGCTGTTTCCATGAGCTGCACTCCCTGCCATCATGGCACCTTCCTTAGTATCATTTACTTGCATCTGTTGGTAGCAATGTGACAGACGCAGTATTGCAGCGACTGACAGATGCAGCTCTATGCAACTCATCGCTAGATGCAATACTTCAATAGTTTACTGCATCCATATTGTACCAAACCAATCTATCCTCAATCGAGCTTCCGCCTTCGTTGTCAAGTATGATACAATCCTGGAAGAAAGCTGGGGCCTGTTTACTAGTCCTAGCAGCCATGGCTTGTTTCTCATTCGGTGAGGCCATTTATATTGTCGCTGGAAAAAATGGGGCTATTGTCCACTCCAAAGGTATCTTGGTTCCAAAAAGGGCAATGGTCTAACATGGCTTACTCGTTCAGCGATGACGGAGAGAATTGAGCCTCCCCCAAACACAACCATGGCGATCCGACGATCTTCCCCCACACCGGGTGATTTTCCCATCTGTAGGGACCCTCATGGCGCTGCCCGACCATTCTGTCTCCCAGAGAATGGTGCAAATGTGACGGTTGGTGGGACTTACTACATCACCTGGGACGCGGACTTTTATCCTCTGAATGCCACAATCACCATCGAACTGAGATATACGGACTCTATAGAAGGGGATTCGACATTTAACTCGGACAAGACGGACAACAGCTACGGATATACTCACATCCATATGCAGCAAGAATGGCTTCAAGGAAAGCAGCAGAACCCTCTGACGCTTTACATCATCGAGCTGGACTCGGTGTCAGATAAGCGGGCAAGTGCCCGACGGGGTCCAACCGTTGTTCTTCACCCCAAGCCAGTGCAGCATCGCTTGTCTCCTCGACCGACTTCCTTCAACAAGTTGGGCCTGTATATTGGCCTCCCAGTGAGTCTCAGCGTGGTCATACTCGTTGTTGCTGGTCTCTACTTTGGCATGCGAGACAGCAGGCGAATTGATCTGGGGAACATTGGGGGCCCGGGGTATGGCATTAGAAAGTCCAAGGGTCAGCGTCTAGGTCGTAACCGGTGCGAGTCAACGTCGGAGAGAACTGTGGAGGAGACGAGCTCGGACATCACCGAAGTCGCCCAGCCCGGTCGTAAGGGAGTTTTAGAGGGAAGTCTTAGCTTTTGGTTCAAGCGTGATTCGTCGAAAACAGAGGGCTGGCAGGTGTAATTCAAGAGCATAAGAGCAGTGCGGCAAGACTAAGGCATGCAGGATTTGGTGCGCGCTTGGCCCAGTTGGTGGCAGGCTTTTAAGTATTGTATAAACGAGCCCGTTCAGTGGTATGACTGTTATTGGACTAGTGTCTGCAAGAAAGACTAAAATCTCACGCTATCCTTCAACCAGAATAGGAAAGAGAACGAATGCAGTAGCCTAGGAGATAAAGAGTTAAAATGATGCTTTTAGAGGGTTTAGTGCCGGAGCATCCCACCCGCCATTACATAACCCACGGCTTCTCTACAGCAGCCACAGTCTATACTAACTATTCTCCCACTCACCATGTCCGGGGCATCCCCCCGTCGCAACGCCTCCCACCTTGATATAGTTGGTTTGTGGAGTGAGCGATCCCTCAGCCGCCATGGATAAATTGACCAGGAATGACTCGCTGGGCGAGTTCGTCTGTCGCTTCCCCAACTGTGATGCCCGATACCGGCGCAAAGAGCACCTCCGTCGCCATGAGGCAAAACATATCCAAGATCGGACATATCCCTGTTCCATCTGTGGTCAGGAATTCGGACGAAAGTATACACAAAGTTAGCTTGCAGCGCGCAAGGCTCCTGCGTGCTTGTTGTTCTGTCATTAGTAACGTGCGTTAGTGACACACTGCGTCGACATCTACGAGTGAAGCATCAGTTGAATGAACCCGTCCACCGAGCTCGACGCGCCTGCTCCAACTGTCGAGCCATCAAGGCTCGATGTGAAGGGAAGCCTGTTTGCACGGAATGTCAGCATCGGGGCATTCGCTGCTCTCTCCGCGAGGCGGAGGACTCCCCGGCGCCCGAAACCCGACCAGCGTCCGTGAGCCCGCGGCCAGCAGTGTCCAGAGAAGAACAGTTTGTCAAAATGTTTTTTGAGTTGTTTCATCCGCATTGGCCGTTTGTGCATCGGGGGACGTTTCGCATCCGCCATGAAATTCCCATGTTAGTCCAGTCCATGGTGGTTCTGGGCTTGTGGGCGAGTGGGGAAAGGAGCGCACGGTGTGCGGCTGTCGAGTTGCATGAGCAGCTGAATTCGGCGATTTTGCAGCAGAAGGTCAGTGCAAGTATTTGTAAATCGGTTATAAATGCTAATGCCGTTGCAGGAGAGATGGGATGTGCCCGATGAAGTACATATACCCCATTCGGGGTCGTGGCCATTGCCGATTTACCAGGCGATCTTATTACATGTCATCTTCTCTTTGATATACAATACGCACGGCTCTCTCGGGATAGATTTGAAGCCGTCTGGACTAAGGACTGATACTGAGCTGCTGCTCAAGTGTCTGATAAGGAACTGCCGTCTCCGGGGCATGTTTTATTATCCGCGCATCCTGCAACAATATCAGGAACCTGCGATTGCTCAATACATGCTGGTCAGTATTGAGGAAGTAAAGCGATTCAACATTGCACTGTATAAGGTGTGCACAACGATCTATGGCTCGACGGCGCTGAGCCAGATGGTGGATGGGGCATCGATGGGCAACATCCTTCTAACGGTGGATGAATTGCAGTTCCCGCTGCCGGAGAACCACGAGTTATGGGATGCAGGGACACAAGCGGAGTGGGATCGAGCCCTGGAGGGGATGAGCGTGGATGGGTTAGGAGAGTTTAGGGAGGATGAGTGGATATCGAAGCAGGCTCGGATGATGCATGTATTGGGGAACATTTAGCTCACTACGTACCATCTATAATTGCAGTGGTTGAAGCATATCAAATACGATCGATCAAGACTGTAATGTAAACACAATCAACTCCATTATCACTACATATAGAACAAACACCCTCCATCTCTTCCCCAAAAACCAACTACAAACAATTGAAACATAACATCTACGCCTCCACCCCATCCTTCTCATTCTTCGTAATCGTATCCACAATCGCAGTCTCCAAATGCGGAATAACCGGATCCTTCTGCACCCTCAACCCCTTCGTCATCCTCGCAATAGTGGTATAGAACCCTAGTACAACAAAACACTCCACGACCTCATCATCCGTCATAACCCTCTTAGCCCACAGAATTGTCTCCTCGTTATTATCATACGTGCGGATCGACTCCTCCACCAGCGTCAGAATACACTGTTGGCGCTCCGTCCATGTGCCCATAGCAATCAGCTCCTTCGAGGACAGACCCTTGCGCAGAGCCTCGATCTTATCGTCGCCAAGCCCGTTAAGACGTGAGATGGGCTCGTTGATGCCGAAGAGGTACTCGGCGTTAATGAGGCCCGTCATGCGGAGGACAATGAGCTGGTAGTCGAGGAGTTGGATAGTGCGCTTTTCGCCGGAGAGAATGCTGTCCAGGACGGACATGATGGGGAGGAAGGTTCCTGGGGAGCGGGCATAGAGGCGGAAGACGGCGCGGTCGATGGGGAAGGATCGTAGGAAGGCGGCGTTGGCTTCGTGGGTTGGGGAGGGGTTGTGGATGTCGATGCCTTCGATTAGGGGGTATTTTGCTGCCATGTTGAGGGTTGGTTGGTTGGTTGATTAGGTATGAGTATGTGTGGTTGGTTTGGATGTTTTGGATAGTAGATTGTATAGGGTTATGGGAGATGTCTGTGGTGGGATAGTAGATGGGTGTTTTTTCTTGGACTACTTCTAACTTTTAAATACAGTGATTGAGGTACTGCTGATCAGTCCATCAATGATTATCAAGTCATGCCATATCGGTATATCAGCGATTGATTATCACTGTCCTCGTATTCTCTTGCAGGATGCTGAAGGAGTATCAGGATGCCGATGTACTTGTTTCAGACTCGCGCGGATGTCAGCATCACCAGCGGCAACGCTAACTGCCATGTGCGCCCTAATATCTTACTCTCCCTCCACGGCGGGAGAGCTAATTAAGGCCCGCATGCGGTATGGTTTCTGATTGGATTAGGTACTATATACACGAACTATACTACACGAATTGAATTTGAATGGAGTCAAGATGTACGAATGCCAGTGATTTAAGATCATTCCACCGCTGCCACATATCCATCCATCTCATCATCAGCCCATACACACAACACACGCTCTTACTTCTCATCAACCCTACTATCTATCTACCCACCAACCAACCTCATACACTACAAAGCAAAAATGGGCTCAACAGACCCCTACCGTCTCGGCCGCGACGTCATCGCCTCCACGCGCCTCAACCTCCAACACTACATCTGGAAAGAAAGCATCGGATACCTCCTTCACCCATCCATCCGATTCCCCGACGCCAGCAGCAACAGCGACATTTCCATAGCCGATGTAGGGACCGGCACTGGGTCAGTACTCCCCCTTACACCCCCCTCTACATCTATGAGCGAAGCTCTAACAACAATGCGAAGAATCTGGCTCCTCGACCTCCACCGCCAATACCCCAACGCCACACTTCACGGCTTCGATATCTCCTCCGAGCAATACCCTGCCCCGGGATTCCTCCCATCTAACATCTTCCTCCGGCATCTCAACATTCTGGAGGAGATCCCAGAGGAGTACGTGGAGAAATATGATGTCGTGCACGCCAGACTTCTTGTGCAGGTTGTCTTGCAAGCGGGTGGGGATCCGAGGCCCGTGATTAGGAATTTGATGAGGCTTGTTAGTATGTATTCTCCCATTCCTTTTTTGCCTATCACATTTATTTCCGATGAGTGGTATGGTATGATGTTAATATCTGGAATAGAGCCCGGCGGCTACATCCAATGGGAAGAGCCCAACGACGACGCAGGCAACCGGCCCCTCGTGAAGAGTGATCCTGAGACCACTGTTTCCGAGAACTCGGAGGAGCTTATGAAGAGGATTGATGGGAAGTTTAGGTCGAAGATGCCTTCGTATGATCCCCTCCCTCCCCTTCCATACACTTAGCCCTTTCTTCAGGAACATGATATAGATGCTAATGAATTGTGACAGATGGTCCATCCACCTCGCATCAACCCTAGCGGAGCAGGGCCTGCGTGATGTCCTCCGCGATGAATGCCATCCGGGCACGTACACACTTATTCTGGACCAGATGAATTATCTGGGCCTCTTTGGGGAGTTGATCAGTAAGGTGCCTGGGGAGGAGAAGGGTGAGCTGAATGAGTTGTTGGAGAAGGCGGCGGTGGAGGCGAGGGGGGGTGTCGCGTGGAAGGTGAGGCGGTTTGTGTTTTTGGCGAGGAAGTAGTTTGTCATTACCTCTTTGCTTGGGGGTTTAGTATACTTTTAGATTAAATGAGATATATGTTCATACTTTTATTTTTTGGGAGTGTTTGTATAGTGGGTGGTTTGTTATAGGGTTGGTAGGGAGGTGGGGTGGTTGTTGTATGTTGACGGTTGAGCTGGGTATGTTATGTAGGGTTGGATGTTGTGGGTTTGTGAGAAGGTAATTGAAAATAATAGTTTTTATTTGATACTTTATGAGCCAAACAAGTGATAGTTGACTTAATATAAAGATACTGTATTAATACGTAGCATTTTTCTGTCATATGTGCCTTCATCGAGATATGAACTCTCTGAGGACTAACTTATGTTTCTGTAACTTCGCGGCTGATATATCTGACTTTAGTAATCCTGAGTAAAGTGGAATAGAATATCAAAGCATAGATTATAATCAATTTCATCTATATCAAGAATCTAAAAAACTCCCTAAAGACAATAACAACAATATCCAATCTGAGATCTAACTCTAACCCACCCCCCAAAAAGCAACCCTATGAACGCCCAACCCAATATCAGTGACAAAAAAAAACATCACCATCTCCGCTCTATTCTATTCAAATTCCACCTCCAAATCCCCAATATTCTCCCCCCTCCCCAACTCCCCCAACACCCTCCCATACAACTCCACCGCCCTCCTCGCCTCCTGCTGATTAAACACCCTCCCATCCCAATAAAACCTGACGACATAACTCCCCCTCTCGGCCCCCTTCCCCACCTCCAGCTGCACCCCGTAATTGAACTTCATCGTATTCTTACTCATCTTCATCACGATCCACCTCATCGCATCCTCCTCCTTCCCGTCAAACTTCTTCTCAAACGGCTGGAAACAGAACAACGCTTTCGCGCCTTCCACATCCCTATCCACTTCCAATGCCTCGTATATCTCCGACAGTGAAACAGCAGCATGGTCTGCAGAAGTCCAGAAATCTCGCTGGGTATCCTGTAGCAGAGACCTAACAGACTGAGATTTGTCGATAGTAGAGAGGAAGGGTAGGAAGTTTGCGCACGTGCCGGTTATGCTTTGGGGTTTTGGAATGGGGACGTTGCGGGCTGTTGTTAGGGTGTCGTAGACTATGCTTTGCTTTTGCCCGTGGGATGAGGTGTTGAGGTGAGAAAGGAGAAGTGAAAACGCCGTTTGGAATATAACTGATGGAGTCACGTTGTGGGTTGTGGCGAGGGCGTCGATGCCCATGTATGCTGGGATGGGGTAGGTTGTTATGTTGTTCAATGATGGGTTTTGGAGGGTGGAGAGGTAGGGTGTCGTTGTGGTATCGTTGTGGTAGGGTTTAAGGAGATTCGTCCAGTAATCTAGCTGGGGTTGTTTCGGGAGCGATGTGATGTAGTTGATGTATTCTTTGAAGGGGGTGCATTCTGGGATAGGCTCATTGCGCGCGAGGGCTAGGAACTGGTCGTCGAAGATGTGTAGTAAGGTGCCGTCGTAGGAGGCATGATCGAGTTTGATGACGAGGTCTTTGGCTCCTGTGGTGGCGTCTGTGAGGAGGGCGTAGCGCACAAATGGTCGTGCTGGATCGAAGCGTTCCTCCCAGTTGTTGTCAATGAGGGATTGCTTCTCTTCTTCGGTGGTGTAGGTGTGGTAGGTGAGGTTGAGGGTTTCATCGCGCAGAACAACCTGCACTGCTGTGCGGGGATCACGGCTCTCGTCTGCGTACAGGTACAGCGCGCGCAGGATCTGGTTGTGCTGCGTGAGCTGCGTAGTCAGGCTAATCCAGCGAGAGAAGTCAAAGCCTGCTGGGAGTCGACGGACGGTCATGAGCTGCCAGAATTGCTCGGGCTTGTTGCCCTGTGTGAGGAACTCGATCTGTCCGGGGCTCAAGGGGTAGATATCCTCCACTTCGGGACGGGAGATGCCGAGCTGGGCGAGCTGGTTGTACATTGTTTCCGTCGGCTGGAAGTCTGGGACAGCTAAAGCTGTGGATGGAGTTGCAGCAGCAGCAGGCTCCTCAATCAGCAGCGCGGCCTGGTCGCGCAGTGTCCGGGATGAGAGGATGTCGTTGACCCGCACCTGGTATCCTTCTTGTCGGAGAAGACTGACGAGGTTCAAGGCCGAGATGGAGTCGCCGCCAAGGGCGTGGAAGGTCGAGTTGGCGTGGATATCATCGGCCGGGGTGTCGAAGAGCTTGGCCCAGAGGTGCTGCAATTTGTGTTCTGCTGGAGATGTGATGGCTGAGATCTCCTCAGCAGGCAGATAGGCCTTGAGTTCGTCGTCAGCTAGGTCCTGAGCGAGAGCCAGCAACCGCTTGCGGTCGATCTTGCCCGAGCCCATGAGCGGGAAGTCTGACAGTGGAAGCCAGATCGAGGGGACCATGTACTTGGGCAGGGTGGTGAGATGGTCCTTGATTTCATCCAGAATGGGCGCCTGCTCTGGGGCTAGCAGCACAACCTCCCTCGAGCCCGGGGCAGAAGTCGAGCAGAACGCAACGAGCTGCTTCTTCTTGAGCACTGTCGCGGCAATGACAGCACACTGGCTGAACAGCCCCGTCTGCATAATAACACTCTCGATCTCTCCCAACTCGATCCGATAGCCGTTGATCTTGACCTGGTCATCCTTGCGGCCGAAGAGCTCGATCTCCCCGCTGGGCAGCCATCTCGCTAGATCGCCAGTCTGGTAAATTATTCCGTCTGGCCGGTGCCGGAATACCTTGTCTGTGGCATCTGGACGCTTCAGATACCCCCTTGCCAGCTGCGGGCCAGCAAGACACAACTCGCCGATTTCTCCAGCTGGAACAGGCAGCAAGGTGTCTGGGTCAAAGATCTGCGCCGTCACATTGCGGTAGGGCCGGCCGATGTTACGCAGGTTCATGTCTGGAGTGACGTTCGTTGTGGTGACGCAGATAGTGGCTTCGGTTGGCCCATAGGCGCTATGGACGGTGATGCGCGGCGCCCAGACGGTCTGCATGTGCGGCGTGACAGGCTCGCCGCCGGTGGCGAGGATTTGCAGCGTGGGCACGTCGTCTGGATGGAATAGACCGGCCATGGTGGGCGTCACGCAGACAGCAGTGACTTGCATGGCGTTGATCAGGCCGGCTAGGTTTCCGACGATGGTGCTTTGGGGTGCTACGCAGAGCGTGCAGCCGGTGGCTAGGGCTGAGAAGAGGGAAAAGAACGATCCGTCAAAAGTGTAGTTCAGTGCCCAGAGAATCCGGTGCGAGTTGTCCATCTCTGTCGACTCGATGATGCCCTCCACTGCTGTGGCTAAAGCTCGGTGCGTGAGCAACGTGCCTTTGGGCTTACCTGTGCTGCCCGAGGTGTAGATCAAGTACACCAGGTTATCCGGGGTGAGATCGGGGACGATCTCGCGCTGGATGGGCATGGCATCCCAGTCCAGGTCATCGATCACGATCACATCGTACATGAGATCGTCGAAGAAGCCCGCGCTCTGGCGGTCCGTGATGACCACCTTGGCTTCACAGTCCTCCATGATACTCAGGTTGCGCTCACGAGGGTTCTCCGGGCCAAGAGGCAGAAAGGCACCTCCGGAGACCATGACTCCCAGCATGGCAATTATGGTGCTGATGGACTTCTCCAACAGAAGAGGAACCACCTGTTCCAGGACGACGCCCTTGGCGCGCAGCAGCCCGGCCAGCTGGTTCACCTTGATAGTCATACCGGCGTAGGTGATGCTGGCACCGGTGGCATCTTCGACAGCCGTGCGAGAGGGATAGTTGCAGGCGATGCGGTGAAAGGCAGAGTGGCCGAGCTCATCATCAGCTGGGCTGGTCTTCGCAACCTCCACTGGCCCATCGACCTCCCTCTCAACACCATTCACCACACCATCTCGCACGAGTTCCAACCCCGCAACCTTGGTATCTGGTGCCTCTGCCGCAACCTTCAAGATATCAGCGACAGACTGCACCAGAACCCTGGCATACCCATCCTCCAGCATAGATGACAGAGTCACGCGGCCCAAGTCCTCATTACTCAGCTCCAACTTGATGTAGTCGTGAGTGCCGTAATTCTTCTCCGGCAGGATGGTCAATCCTCCAGCCGTAGCAGGCATATTATCCACCTTGATGAGGAAGTTGACCGTTGTGTCAAAAAGATCCTTTGGCTGCCTACTCACTTTCAGTATCTTGCGCAGGCCGTACTGCGCATGTCGCGCCACGTCCCACAGGCTAGCCTGCACGGAGGCCAGATGCTCCTCGAACGAGCTGTTCTGATCGACCTTTACCCGCAGCGGAGCAATCATTAGCGTAGGCCCGCTCATCTGTAGGATACCTGGTATGGGGGCCTCTCTTCCGGAGAGAGTGACACCAGCCACGATGTCCTGCGAGGAGGTGGCGCGAGCAAGGACGAGAGACCAAGCGGCGTAGAGAAGCATACTGGGTGTGACTTTTAGTGCAGAGGCTGTGGATTTCATGTCAAGGGTTAGGGAAGCAGAGACGAGGGTCTGCTGTTCGGTTTGGGTGCCTAGACGGGTAGGAACTGCGCCGTCGAGGTACTTCTTCCAGAAGGTCTGCATGGTGGGTTCGTTGTGCTGCTGGAGATGTTTCACATATTGACTGAAGAGAGGGCGCTGGACAAGTGCAGACCCCGTAAGGAGGGAGGACAGGTCCTGAGGGAGGAACTCGCTGGACCAGTAGTCGAACAGCGCATGGTGGATGGTGATCACCAAGACGTTGTTTGGTAAGGCAGCTGCGCGCCACCATAGACCGCCAGCGTGCATGGGCTTCTGAATCTGCTCCTGCATGTAGGATTTCACATCCGTGGAGGACGTCTCCCAGGGTACAGGGGCAGATTTGCGTACGACTTGCATGAAGGATACCCCGTCTGGGATGAAAGTCGAGCGCAGAAAGATCTCCCTGTCCATGAGGGATGTCAGTGCACGCTTGACTGCCAAGGCACTGTGTCCCTTGAAGCTGTATGACCGGCTGTAGATGTACTTGGAGCCACCAAGCATGGTGTTGGCGATGATGGCTTCCTGGAACGGCGTTACTGGGAAGGCGTCCTCGACGTCGGCCGAGTTGATACCGAAACGCTCGAAGGAGGGAATTTCGCGCAGTAGCGTAAACGGCGCATGACCATTCGCTGCAGTGCCTCCGGTCTGAATGAGACCAGCGACCTGAGCCAGCGACTGACCGAGAATGATATCCTCCACGCGCAGAATCAACCCATGCTCAGTCTGCAGCTGAGACACAACCTGGATAGCTTCCAGTGATGTACCACCTAGCGCCACGAATGAGTCCTCCACCGAGATATCCTCCTCAGCGAAGGATAAGAATCTCGCCCAGAGAGCGCGCACAATTATCTCCTTCTCCGTCAAGACCACCCCGTTAGTGCCATTCTTAGGTCTATCCGGCAGTAGCTGCCCCGACTTTGCGAAATCCTCGACAATCGCACGAATAGCAGCCATATCTACCTTTCCATTGGCATTTGTCGGCAACGCAGCCAGCGGCACCCAGAACCCAGGGACCATATACCGCGGCACTCTTGACGCCAGATACGTGCGCAGATTCGCCACGAGTGAGTCCCAGTCGCCGTCGGCGCGACTCACAACCACTCCCACAAGAGCTGTCTTCCCGCCCACGGCAGCGGGCACTACAGCCGACTGCTTGACTTCTTCATAGGACTGAATGACGGCGTTCGGCTCGGCCGGGTCCACGCGCTGACCGTTGATCTTGACCTGGAAATCGATCCGGCCGATCATCTCGATTGACCCGTCGGCGTGGCGCACAGCAAGGTCACCTGTGCGATAGAGCTTGCCCTGACCGAAGGGGTTGGGAATGAAGCGACGGGCTGTTTCTTCGGGGTTGTTCAGGTAGCCACGGGCGAGCTGGGCGCCACCGAGACAGAGTTCACCTGGGATGAGCAGCGGAGAGAGGGCGGTGGTGCCGGGAACGAGGATGTAGGAGGTTGTGGTGTCGAAGGGCTGACCAATGATGCGGGATGAGCTCTGGGTATCTTGGAGTCTGTAGCGCCAGTTGAGCTGTGTACATTCGCTGAGGCCGTATGAAGACAGTAGCTCGACGTGATGCGACCAGGTTTGTACCACTGCTGGGTTTACCAGCTCGCCGCCTAGGACCATTCGGCGCAGTGAGGGCACGTTGTCCGGTGAGAGGAGAGATGCTGTGGTCGAGGTCATGTCGACGGAGGTGATATGCATGCTGTTGATGGTTCTGGCCAGGTGGACGGTCAAATTAGCCTTGCTAGCCAGGCACAGACATCCTCCGACGCTGAGCGTGGCCCACATGGAGCGCTGGGCTGCGGAGAAGACGGGGTTAAAGAAGAGTAGCTGGCGTAAGTCGAGCATTTTGGGGAAGGCCAGGAGACCGTTGTACGCGGCTTGATGCTCTAGGAGGACTGCTTTGGGCTTGCCTGTTGACCCGGAAGTGTAGATCACATATGCCAGAGAGGTGACGTCTTGATCGAGAGACAAGTCACTGTCGTCGTTGCCCATGGACTCGCTCAGCAAGTCGCGGACCTTGTGCTCGCGAGCAAATTCACCCGCAGTGTCTGAGTCCACCAGGACGAAGTCTGCCTGGACATCCTCAACTATGAAGGACTTGCGGCTGGCCGGTGCATCGGGGTCCAGGATCACGTATGCAGCGCCAGCCTTCAGGATAGCCAGCAGGGCAACGAAGAAGTCAGTCGACGTGCGCATGTGCACGGGAATGTAAGTTGCACCGTATGAGCGCAGTAACCGGGCCAACTGGTTTGCGCGTTTATTCAATGTGCCGTAGGGAAGAGGAGCATCCAGCTCGAATTGAACGGCGTGAGCGTCTGGTCTCAGCCGAGCCTGTTTCTCAACCAGGGCGTGCACCAGCCCGCGACGGGCCCGGATGGCAGCCTTACCGTATTCATGGAGTAGCTGTCTCTCAGCTGGAGATGTCAAATTCACCGCTGCGATGTTTACGGACGGGTTTTCAACCACCTGCTGCAGCGTAGCAGCGAAGTGGTCAAGGAGTACTCGGACGTTGGTCCGTGGCACGGCCAGATTATGCCGCATGCTCAGCTTCAGCTCAGAGGATGCCGACAGGTTCAGCACGAGAGGAAAGTCAGCATCGGTTGTCATCACCTCTTCACTGTCATCAGGTATAATAGACACTTTGACTTGCGGCGGTGCGGCGCCTGTTTGCGCGAGGATCTGCTTGTAGCCCAGGTGCGAGTGCGTTGCTGCTTCAGCACTGACGGTACCAACATGTCGAATCCACGATAGAGCTTCCATATCTTCTGGCACAGACAGAACCAGGGGGAAGTCCTCCTGATCTTCTAGCCCCTGCTGAGTGTACTCTGGTCCGAAGAAGGACCGGTCTCGTCCGGCTACCGTGAAGATAGCGGTGCGGTGGCCACCCGCCGTGTGTCGAATAGATACCAGGGCCCATATCCCATAGATCAAGTCATCTAGTCGAATGCTGTATCTCTCACTAAAGTCTAATGCCGCTTCGAAAAGATGCTCAGGGGCCCGGATAGTAGTCTCTGATCGTGGCCATTGGTGATCGAGAGGGAAGGAATGGAGTTGGGGTTGCGCTCCAACATGGGAAAAGAGGTCGGTCCAGTATTCCGCGGCAAGCTCTGGGTCCTGGATAGGTTGTTGAGAGATTTGCTCATGGCCCTTGAGAGATTGGTATGTGGGAGGCGAGACAGGATGGGCGTCTTGGATCTCATAGTAAGAAATCATCTTGTCACATCAAGATGGTAATCAGAAAATAGGATATGCAGTAGGAGGTATCAATGCCTCTACTCTCTTGCTACCAATGCATGATCCTGGCTAGATAATATGCTCTCTTGTCTTGTCTGGTCCCAGTCATTCTCCGGTTTCTGCTCTCGTATCTGGTGGGTCAGAGGACTTCGAGAAACCGCGATGCGCCCATCCTGCGATCCTGCAGTCTGACACATACTCGGCAGTTTGCCACAAGGGCCCCCGCCGTGCATTAGCTTCGGCGGTTGGGCTAAACGGTTTTGCGAGGGCCAGTGATGGGCATCGGGCTGGCTGGGAGGTGGTGGACGGTAAGGCTAAGCAATCCTTCCAGAGCGCGGCAAGGCATGGGTTTGGGCGGTAGAGCTAAAATTCAGGGTGGCATTTGTCAGTGGTGGCGACATGGCTGGGGCGTGAATACGTCTTTATCTGACTCGTTGGGATCATGGCGTGGCTGAAACCAGAGGTGCTGTGGTGGCTCTTCTACGTGGTCATGGGTGTAGACATGTTAGAATGGAGTGGATTTGATCTCAAGAAAAGTCGTCATTAAACATGCCAGGATGTGTATTTATCCCGACTCGTATCCTATCTATAACCCAGAGAGGGAGATGGTCCCCAAATCTAAGTAGAATAATGCATCTATCTGCATCCATCAGAAGTCTGCTTTAGCTATACTTCCCCATATTCCCATTTTACCTCTCCGGCTTCATCTAGACACCTCCAGCACCACCAGCAATGAACAGCTTCTCGCGCTTCATGCACACACTCAGCACCACCACCAGCGCCGCCGCCACCATCGACAGAATGTACGAGTTGTTCAATGCCTTGACAATCGCCTCCAACACCTTATTCTTCGTTTCCTCACTTAGTCCTTCAAACAACTGAGACCCAGTACCTGTAATGGCCAATTCTACCTCGGATGAAGACACATTGGGCAAAACGGCCTTGATGCCCTCCACACTCTTGTTCAGGAATAGTGCATTGGCGATGGCCAGAGCGATCGTACACCCAGAGATCTGCGCACAGGTAATAAAACCTACCGCCGACGGGGCCATGTGTGGCTCGGCCACAGCCTGGGCAATGGAGAACGAAGCCTGCGAGAACAAGCCCACTCCAAACCCAATCAGCACCGTGTAGCCGTAGATGTGGGCGACTGAGGTCGTGAGACCCACGGTGTACATCAGCGCGCTACCAATCAAGCAGAGAATACCGCCAGCCAAGAACCACGGCATGTACAGTCCGTGGGTGGAGAGGATAGCGCCGTTGCCAATGACTGCCACGATCATCAGAATAATGAAGGGGAGCAGCCGGACACCCGACTCCAGGGCAGAGTCACCGCGCGTGAACTGGAAGAAGAGCGGGCACATGTAGACGGGAAGGAAGATGAGGGTACCACCGGAAGCAGTCATGGCGAATAGGATGAGGATGGTGCGACTGCGGAGGAACTCGACGGGGAATAGACGGCGTTCCTTGGTGGTGAGGACAGGAATGCCCTGCTGGATACCGAGCAGGATGAAGAGCACACCCGAGCAGCAGAACAGACCGATGATCTTGGCTGAGTTCCAGGGATAAGTCGCACCACCAAAGGAAATGGCCATGACACCGGAGATGAAGGCGCCAATGGTCAGGATACCACCCAGATAGTCGATCTCGCGGGCACGGGCTCCCAGGCTGACACCGGGCCGGGGGTCCTTGTTGGGGAGCATGAAAAGGTAGACAGGGGCACAGATCGCACCAATGCACAAGTTGATGTAGAAAGACCAGCGCCAGCCAGCAGAGGAGTCAGTGAAGGCACCTCCGATGATGGGACCCAGAACGGTGCCCACACCCCAGGTAAAACCGGCGCCACCGACATACGTAGGACGCTCTTGTATGGAGGTGGTCACGGCCAGCATGGTCATCAGACCGACGTACATGCCAGCACCGGAGAAGCCGCAGATGGCACGACCGACAATGAAGGCATTCATGGTGGGTGCGGAGCCACAGACGGCGGACCCGATTTCGAAGATGGCGATGCAGATGATGTAGGTCCATTTGGCGTTGAACTGGGCAAAGATCTTACCCCAGACGAGGTTGGTCGAAGCAGCGCCGATCAGGAAGGCTACACTGATCCATGACAGCTTGGAGACGGCGTTGAAGTCCTCGACGATAGTGGGTTGGACGTTGGCGACGATAGTGTTGTCCAGGGCGAAGAGGAACTGCGAACTGTAGATGGCCGCCACGACAATGGCCCATTTCCAGCCTGTAATGTCGCGCGGAGGAGCTTCATCTTCCTTAGGAGCATCGATCTGCTGGTCCTCCGAGTCCAAGTTGGAAGCAGCGGATTTTTCAGAGAGTTGGCCCTCTTCCTTTTCCAAAGAAGGGTGGTTCATCGTGGCGTCGACAGCCATTGGGAAGGACAGAAGAAGGTAAAAGGGTCAACAAAAACACTTGTCTAAGGAACCACTGTACTCATCACTCTTCAAAATCATTTTCAAGAGAATAACAGTCCATCAGGGTATATAAAAGAAAGATAATCCCTAGCAGCAGCCCGGACTCTCCCACCAGCCAGAACCGCCAATCCTTTGCAATCCTTTAGGGCCGGGGCCTCCCACCAGCCCTTCATTTCTTACCAAAATTCAGTCAGGCCCACGGTCTCTCCCACTGGCCTGCAGGGTCGGAGTAATCAGACACACTCATTCCTAAGCGGGCTGCAGCTTATTCTAGCCCCGTGGGATAGATTTTTAGCTTGCTTTTAGTTCGTAATTGAGTTGATTTGGAGGCAATAATGCCGCCCGATATTAGTCACGGCGCCCAAGTCGTGACTCCTGCAGCTTTTAGCTCTACCGCCGGCGCCCACCAACAGCATCTCACCAATCAATTACGTGAGGTTGGGAAGAGAAAAAATAGAGAAAGAGATCGATGGTCGGATCATCCCTCACTTTATTCCTAATAGATGCTACAGAGATGTCTGGGGTGTATAGCTCCGGGTGATTGTTAAGCATAGTGGGAGGAATTCATAGCTAACAAGAAACATAGTGGTTCAAGGAGAAGGGGGTTGTTGGCCAATGATTGTAGCATATACTCTACATAATCCCTCGGAGGTCCTCGCAATCTGAGGGCTTGAATTGATTCAAGACTTCTGGGGAAATGTAATTCTATTTCATTATTATGATCATTATTCTATCGTCACTCATAATCGCATCTCTCTATGTGGGTATGATACTTTTCCCTCTATCGAAGCAGCACATAATCTCCGCGCTCATTCATCACCGAAACCCAATCGCAATCTGATGTGCGACTTTTCCTTGCCTGCCAACACTCCTCCATTACTCGAGACGCCTCTGCCAGTGTTCCCACTGTGGCCTCCGCCGTCGTGAAGAGCTCCCGGAAAGAAGGCCGTTGATCGGGCTGCGCTAAGCAGCCTACGATGCAAAAAGGCCACACCACACTCGACAGGAGTCGCTGGTCGCGAAGCATCTGGAACACAATGATGGCTTCGGAAACAGTTTGCGCAATCTCCGGCAGCTCGGGGTGAGCCCCGGAGAGCACAACGTGGAGATAGGCGATGGCTCCAAGCCCAAACGCCTTGTTAATGCTAGGGTGAGCCCGGGAACCACCTGGGGTGGCAGAGGAACCCCATGCTGATAGTGACCTTGGAGTGGACACTTGCTCGAGATCGGCGAGTTCCCGTCGTAGGCGCTCCTCCAATTGCCCACCACGCTGTGCTAATTCAATGATGCTGAGCTTACGAGCCGCCTCAGCCTCTTTCTTCCACCGATCCAGCACAGAAACTTCCGCGATTAGGGCCATTATTGAGTTCCGACACCCCATTAGAATTTCTAGAGAAATCCCAAAATTGTCCAATATCTGGACATGATCAATTTCCAGCAAGGGAGCACGCCGGGTAGAAGCAGAGGCGATTATATCCAACGACACAAAAGAGCCGAGGAGGAGTTTCGCAGTACAGTCGTCTTCGGAGGACGGGCTCTGATTGTCCAGCGGTATACTTGGGCAGATCTGGCCAGATGCGTCACGAATTGTAGAAGACATCCGCATCTGTATGAATGCAGGCATCAGATTGCCGGCCAGTCGAAGAAGCCATTGCCAGTTCTTAGTTCCGCCAGCAAGTATCTGAATAGAGCAAAGTCAGTATCTTCAATCGCACCGCATCATCAGGATGGACCATTTACCTCCCAATACAGAAGCTGAAGTATTGAAACGAGTCCCTCGAGATTGTGCGTAAATTGACTCTGTGCATTCCAGCTGAACGAGTCAGCCATGATGCACTGCATTCCCTGAAGAGCTAGGTCGTAATAACCATCTTTGGTACGTAGCTGCGTCAGTCGCGCCGGGAGCTCACTTTGAGGAAGCGACGTCGAGAGCAAGTCGAGCTCACTGAGAGCCAGGCTGGCATAGTATGCGGGCTCGATGCGCCGCAAAAGTGAGAGAAGCCAACCTCTTCCTTGTCGGTCTTGGGTATGGTAGAACGGGTACTGGATGTAGAAGACCCGGTCCAAGTAGTGCATCAGTAACTCATCCTCGGACTTGCTTCCCGAAATTGGGTCAACAGGGGTCATGGGCCACGAGATGGTCTGTCCGCAGGTTGCAGCTGCAAGCATATGCATTCCCGACGTCGGTTGCAGGTTTATCGGATCAGGAGACAAAGTAGGGTCTTTCTGTAGGTGGGGACTATCCAGGGATGCGCTCCACATAAAGTCATCCAGATCCGACAGGGCGGTTTTACTCAAGGCCAAGCCAAAATCGTCCGATGGCACCATATCACCCCATGCAATCCCGGGCTCTTGCATTTCCAGCACGTTTGGGGTGAGGAGTCCTTCTACAGACGAGGAGGGAGACGAAGGGTTTTGCGCCCACGCCAACTGCTTGGAGAACGTGGCATAGTCTTCCTCAGGGAAGACCGAGGTGCCTCCAGGGGTGGGGAGCTGATTGAGAGGCATGGTGCTGCACGCCAGCGTACTATTATTCAGGGCAGCCGCATT